AACAAGTCGTGCACCTGGTGGTAAGCGACGCGCCTATCCAAAACAGTTGCAGTGCCACTCAGAGCTTTAAATCGCAAAGATCGTAGGGGCACTGACACTGCGCCCGTCACTCTTACACAAGTTGACAAGTCCCATATGCCTGTAATTTCACTAGACCCTTCTAGTTCTAAACCGGAACGCAGTAATGTGAGCAATTACTGCTTGGCGACAGAAATAGGTAAGGTAGCAAAACTTTCCTTTAGTTTTCTCAAATCCACAATTTTGAGTTACGACAGTATTTGGTATCATGTGCGATTTGTATACAAATTGTTACATTTTCTTGAGACCGCAAGGACTGCTGCACAAGTTACCATAGAAAATTGTAATATACTTTGTAAATGAAATGCAGAAGACCAAACGTCACTATTTCAATTCAGTTACAAAAGGTAACGATACAGATCGGGTTAGTGATTTAACAAGGTATACTTTCTTTTTAGCTTATTTACACGCTAACATTAAATATACTAGTTTGTTATAATTATTAATACAAAGATTACGAACACTTAGAAAAAATTCCTTCGATTCGGCTGGATTCGAACCAACATCTTCTAGCAAACCGTACCAGACGCTATGCCAACTAAGGCACGGAATAAACCAGCGGACAAATGTTGTCAAATAAAATGACAAATTCTCCATTGTTTTTAACAGTTTATAACAAACTGTAATTAATAATTATAAGAAACTAGCGGAGTAATTTCACAAAAAAATAATTCAATATTATGGCGGTGAAACATCCTGACTTTCAATAAATTTATTTAAATATACTATTAAATAATAAACATCAAGAGGAAAAACGTATCAATTACACAATTCCGTCAATATTTAACGCTATGTTATACCGAGATGAGTAAAACATGTGATGAGTAAAACAAATGAGTAAAACAAACTTTGTATGCGGTGATATCAAATGGGTTTATTATCAGTAATCATCAAGTGAGACTGTGATAACGGTGGTTACTAGTTCTAAAATTATAAACTATGTCTGTGTTCATTGTGACATTTTTTTTGTCTTTTTTTACAAGTACGGTTTCAACTACATCCAATATAACAAGTAAGACTATTCCATACGCAAATATTTCCTTAAATGCACCTCTGCAATATACGAATTTATCAGCCTTATTTAACCACATTGAACGACATCCAAATGCATATAAAGATACAAACTTAAGAGATGGTCAGTACAATACTTTTAAATATAATATAGACAGACTGAACGTGTTAAATGAGCGATTATGGAACCGATCTAAGGTAGACCATAAGGAATACATTCCTTTGAAAGATCTGGACACTATCCATCAATGGATAGACGGCCTCATTGAAGATAATCTAAATGCATTCTATCTCTACAAAATATCGGAATTACCGCCACAACCAATCCAAATGACATATAATGAAGACTTATTCTGCAAATACATACATTTTTACGACAAAATATACGAGAACGAGAGAGACAGGCAAGCTCATTACACTGCTTTCAAACATAATTTAGATTCCTTGAATAAATATAATCAAATGAATTGGGAACATGCAAAAAAGGACAAAACGAAATATTGTCCCGTGTATCCTGAGGACGCTGCTGTACAAGACTGGATCGGTCTTACTGAAAAGGAAATCACAGAAATAAATAAAACGTGTATTGAAGTGTGTAACGGAGGCTTATATTGCTTTAAACTGTGTGATGTTGGTGCGGAACAAATATTTAATACTGATTTGTGATAGATGAAAAATACTGTTGAACAAACATCGAATGAATAGGCGGTTACTAAAATGTTGTAATGAATTAATTAATTACTCAAGCAAATTTCATATACAAATCATCAACTTCGTTACTTTTTAAAGTATATGGTCCGTAGAAAACAAAGGACAGCCACTCGAGGTTATAAGTTATCTAAATGTGATAGACAAGCATTTAAAGAATTTTATTAACGCTAACTAAACTCACGGTGCACTTTCAATAGTTTTCAGAGGCATTACAGTTTGAATAAAAAGTAAACCATAAGCATATTGGAAATGAAACTATTTTTCCGGATTATAAAAACAAATATACGCGATTTATATCCGGAAAAATAGTTTCATTTCTTATGTGTAACAATCGCGAAAACCTAAGGACTCAATACATAAGCATATTGATCACATAAAATATAGTTGATTTATAAAAATAAAGTATAATTAAGTGAAGAAACTTTCATCATCAAGTTCTCACAGAAGGCACTAAAGTAAAAAAAAAGCCGTTTACACCCAATACAAAGATTCAACAAGTACATAGAGAAATTAGTACGATTTGCTGCCTCGATCCGTAGCTCAGTTGGTAATAGCGGTAGCCACGTTGAGGTGACAGACGTTGGTTCGTGTCCAGTTGGATCGAAGGAATTTTCTTTGTATCAATATAATAAAGTTGATTTTTCACAAATATTCAAAAACTTTTAACTTACTTTAAGAGTCGATACAATGTCAAATGGCTTTGGTTGATTCCGCATAACCGTGAACGTGTTGTATCAATCACTTTGGAAAAAATATATAGTGAAATTGAGGATATATACTGATTAGTATAAGATATGAAAACACAATTCCTAAAAATTTTCTCAATAGAAAAAAAACATAAACTTACCTCGAAATTGTACAAGAAAACCGCTGTATTCAACAGGTAGGTACTTAACATAAACCATTTTTTTTTTAATATCAACTGAACTAAATAGAACACGTTTATAATATACGATACACATTTTTCAAATGGCTTTAATTTCGTTTGTAAAAAAATAAATTCTGAAATAAAGCCAGTGTCCCTGCCGTCGACTCGCTTAATAGAACCGATTCTGGGGGTCTATTCAGAACCTTACGATAACTCAGATGTCGACTGATTGGATTTGATACCGGACGATTTCTTTTCATTTTTATTCACAACACCCGAATCGAACGTCAAACTGTGGTATTCGGAACCTAACCGAAATGACGTCACACCCGTACGACTACTCGAACTTCTCGACCAGAAGAGGCTACAAACGTTATTCAGAACAGTTATCGAATGCACAGAATGTTACCGAACGTCCTATTGTTCACAAAACAAGAATGTAATATGGAAATCTCTTATTTTTAAATAAAATTTGGATTTTTTTCAATTTTATTAATTAATTTTAATGCAAGACTTAATGCATTCCTATATTTTAGGCCTTTAAAGTCTTAAAAATGTATATAAAAGTTATTTATTTATTTTTTAAATCTATTTCACCGACGAACTCCGTAAACGCTGTTGTATAATGATATCGTATCCGAATCCGAATCGAACGTTTAACTAGTGTTCTGAATAGCTCGGAAAGCGCCCTTCGATTCGAGAACGATATCCAATCGAACGATTCGGTTAAAATATCGAAGAGTTCTGAATCGGGCTCCAGTACGGGAAAAATGTTAAGTATCAACTCTTAAATGTTAAGAACGTTTTGGTTACCTACTCACTACGCTATAAAGAGAAAAGCCTAATTAATATAAGTGTAAAAAACAACTGACAAAACAAAGAAGCCTTCTTACCTTTCTGTTTATAAATATGAATCAATATAGGTCTTAATCCTACTAAATTGGGCACCCATTCGATCAAGCCGCATTCTTCATTCAGTGGTAAAACACTGTACGTTCTTATGTAAAGTCTTCTACGTCGCGTCTCAGAGGCGTCTTGCAGGAATCTGTTTACGACTCCATTAAATTCCATCAGGCGGTAGTCTTTGCGAAGATCATCGCGTGGTTTTAGCATTATTATGTAGGCTTTTCCATCAGATCCTTGGAAACGAAATTTTGATTACTCTGGGCACGACAGGACAGGAGGCAATACTATGTGATGATAGGTCAAAGTCTGCCACGCTGCTCCAATGCAGATTAGGGATGTCACAAGTTCTTTAAGGGTTATAAACCTTTTTCAACATGCAAGTTTCATCATATTTTTCTGCACTTTTAGTGAAAGATATAGCAACTAGATATTCAGAAAAATATGTACTCATTACATCAAGTATTTGCTATGCTTTGTATGCTTTTCTGTAATGTTAAAAAGGTGTTACAAAATACAAACAGAGAGCATTTATGACCCTGTACGTAACTTAGAAATTAAAGTCATAGGTACATGCCGCCCAAGGGACCCGAACCGTGACTTGTCAATGAAGTAACCTTTTCCGTTTACGCTACCACAGCCAATTTTCATAAAGAAAACATTGATATTTTTAGTAATCCTTCGCAACCGCTGCAAGCCTGTACAACACATACTGTGTGGTTCACTGTATTGGCTGTGGTTGCTGTTACTATTAAAGCGGCCTTTGTATGTGAAGATAGTTGTACCTTTCAAAGTAACCTTCCTAGGCTTCTGTAGCGAAGGTAATATATTAATTGTTTCCTCAATCCCGGCGATATACACAGGCGGTTCTGCAGGCATAACGAAGTCAATGCGCTCCTGTCCCGCTGCCTTGGACGGTAGCACCACTTTGCAAAACTCTTGGAATGGCATCATGATGCGACTGAAGTTGTCTGCAGCTAATAAACGTGGGAGAGTACGGACTAGAGAGGACACTGTTGTTGTCTGTAATAAAATCGAATATCATTATCAGCAACTGACTATTTAGAGATTTATTGTGTATTTTATGTAGTTTTCAAAGTACCACAAAACGAACAAAATATGCAAAATAATATTTTATGATTTCAAGACATGTTGTGTGGTATGAGCTTATAATGAACTTAAGCAATATACATCTATCCTTTCCGAAATGTTGAATAAGTTACCAGAAACTATTATACAAAAATTACAAACAAAAACCAAACTAAGAACGTAATAAAATTATATCTCGCTTTAGATCAATACAAAACCGGGGATATGGGCACAAAACATTGTAGGTATAAATTTAACAATATTTAATTTATAACGTTTTATCTATCGTAGGACGACTGTCGCGTCTAGCCTGTTCCCACATCACGACTATCTGTCGTGACTGTGTCGCGGACGTTTATTTTATCATTGAACGATAGTCGTGCCTAGCTGTTGCCACTGGATCATGACGATAATTTGTCGGTGCACATGCAGACAACGATAAACAAAACGTGACGACAATAGTAGCTGGTTTCCGTCGTCACATTTTTATCGTGACGTTTTATTCATCGTCTGACGACTGTCGTCTCTTCCCATTGTCTCGACAGTTCGTCATTGTAACGTTATTGTGTCGCTAGAAATGGGTATGGCATTAAAGTACCATAATCTTACAAGTAAAGATTTTGAACTTCAGATCTTAGTACTTAGATAAGTTCAATTTTAAAACAAACAATTTAAATTTACTTATTTCAATAGTGCACGATTGTATGTTTTAATTAGAAAATTAATATTATATAATAATAATAATAATAACGCACACACTCAACATAGCCACTCACGAGAGAATTAAATGTAGGGCATACAAATATTTCTCCCGGCCCGGGAATCGAACCTGGGACCTCTACGTGGCAGTCGGGCATGATAGCCGTTCGGCCACGGAGGCAGTTGTCTCTTTACAGCTTTATAATTATATAAGACGCAATTGCGTGTATTGCCCCGGTTAACTTGTAATCATGTTCTACTACATTATTATTAACATATCACTTTGTAAGATGTTTTTATTCTTATTTTTCGTTTTCTTGTTGTTTTAAATTTGGAGAATGTTGAATCGTATTAAATCATTACTACGACTTATTTTATCGTGCTGTGTACAATGTTTGAAGGTAGTCTCGGCATAATATGTATCAAGCTGTATCTGTTACCATGTGATTATTACAATCTGTTTGTGTACCTATGAAATGAATAAAAATAAATATAAAAAAAAATATGAGACCATTGCTCATTACTATTTGCACAAAGAATAATAATGTCCCGCGATATCATCCCAAGTTCGGTAACGACTTTGCTGTAATAAAGCAAATTAGCATCGCAAAATCTAGAAACATGGTAAGTTCCAGCAAGAGCCGGTTTAAAGTTAGCGCTCCCATACTTTTTTACTTTTTACCCATACTTTTTTATTTTTTATTTAGCCCCTATAATGGTAGGTCAATGGTGCGCCCCTTGAAATTGTGAGCCCAGTGGTAAATATAGTCCTGCATACATGTACCTACATATTATTTAAAAAATCTTACAGATCCACTTCCCGCTATAGGCTTATTACATAGCTCAATAAGCTTCTCAGCTAACTGGGTGAAGTCATTGAAGAGTCGCAACATCCTAGGCTCCTTCAGACGAGGCTCTGCGAATACATCAGTACAGCGCTTGATGCGCTGCGGGTACCCTGACTTGATGACGCACATCATCATCCATAGCGTGTGTTGTGGATAGGCCAATATCAGTTTAACTATTATAGCTTTTAGTTGGAGATATACCTGGCAAGATAAACGATTATTTTTGTAGCATTCTCTAGGATAATGTGAAATATTATTTGTCAAGATAGCCCAAACACGCACCAAGGAGTCACTGACACGAGCCCAGCATTAGGTGCGTATTTTGACTTAATTATTTACGGTTAGAACGTAACCTTAAGCGAATGGATAAATATTAATAATAATAACATTGCACAAGAACACCACACCAATTAACTGGTCTTAAAACTAGAAATTTCCCTGTACTATGAATACCACAGCAACGGAATTCATTCCGGGGCACCACTCAGGACATCCAGTTCATTACCAATTTAGAAAAGTTAATTTCCCAAATTGGTCCTACCGGGAATCGAACCCGGGACCTCATCATTCAGCGCCCAAGGTTGCCCAACAAAGCGTTGTCTCAACGAGGTCGACAAACTTCTTTTTCAAGTTACTAAACCCAAACTAAACTGTTAAGGTAAACTTTGATTTGCAGCAGCGAACTCAAAGCGGGAAAATTATAATGTCAAGTAAAAAGGTTAACAAGTAAAATATAATGATTTTTAGAAAATAGTACTGTACCCTCGAGGAAGACTGTGACAATGTTATGAACTCCAACATACCTCTTTCACAGGATGGCATATTCTAGACACAATTTGTGAAAAAGCTGTCAAATATAGGTAGAGAGGTAATCTCTCGGAATATGTCTTTATTACTTCCGTCATCTGAGCCAATACGGAATGGATGCTTGTGTCCGCTGACGTCACTTCTACGTTCAGCCTGGAAAAATGACATAACATTACGTAATATCGACGTTTGAAACTTGAAATTGAAACTATTTTTCAGTAAAGAGCAGGAAACGTCCTGCTCTTTACTGGATTCATCCTGTTCGATGTACTTATAATATGTAATTTGTCAGCCTGTAGAGAGTGACTGTACAGTACTAATCCTAATACTAGCATAAGGTGTGTAATGTTACTAACTTGCTAACTTGTATAGACTATGTTGTCTGAAATAAATTATTTTTCTTATATCATTATATTCTTTTCTCTTTCACATTTTACTAAAACTGACAAACAGAAAACTATATAAACGCGAATAAATGGGAAAACGAATTTGGAAAAATAAAAAAGTCACAAAGATTTTTTACATTTGACACGTTTAAATACGTCTCGCCAATAAGTAAAAAGAAGAAGACGGATACAAACACATAGGACACAAACACATTGCTAGCGGTAGCATTTTATTGTTCCAATAAATTTTATAAATATTAAGATAATTAATACTAACCACGACGTATTTATCAAGATATTCCTGAGTCGGCGGACTAAAGCACATAAGTGAAAACCAACAATCATTCATTTAAATTGTATTAATTTATCCACCGATTAAAGCACAAAAAATCAAATTCATTTGTTATTTCATTAATTTGGAACTTAAATTCCAGTGGTGTCTTTTTTAAATTTATGCGACTCTTCACATCTTCCAACATTAGCACTTTTTTAAATTGTCGTGATAACTCTATCATGATAACTATCACGATAATGTATCAATCTATAAAAAAGAGGAAAATTCATAAATAAATATAACAATTTGCTTACCAAATAGATAGCATTCTAGGCATACTTTGGTATAAATATTTGTGCCCGCACTGTAGCGCCTTGCCGTAACTGTTTAGAGCGCACAGTCTCCGCGACCACGCCAAACTGCTATTGTCACCGGTACTCACTTTTTCGAAGTACGTACCTAGACATACCTGTGAGGATATTAATAATAATAATAACACACACTCAACATAGCCCCGCACCAGGCAAACCCTGTGTCGCGAGTGCCAAGGACACACACATAGACAACCACAAATTACACCCCAACTCACGAGAGAAATAAATGTAGGCCATACAAATATTCTCCCGGCCCAGGCATCGACCTGGGACCTCTGCGTGGCAGTCCGGCATGGTAACCATTCGGCCATGGAGGCAATTAATATTAGACACATATTAAGCGTTTTTTATCAACCCATAAAAGCTAGTGACACTGAGATTTAGTGAACATGATCCGAAAACATTGCTTTAAATTCAAGTGTCTTTTTTACAGACTCCCTTTGGAGCAAAAGAGTAGCTTGTTTTAATGTACCAGACAACCACACCAGTTATCAGGTTTCAAACTAAGGAATTCTCTCAACCGAGTACAACCAAATTTAGAAAAGTTCAGATCAAAATAGTCCTAGCGGGAATCGAACTCGGGACCTTCTTTTCCAGCGCCCACAGTTGAAACCGTTAGGCTATTGAATCATCAACCTTCTTTTCAAGTTAGTAAACCCACCGAAAATATGAATGAGAACTTGGATAAAATTGCAAATCAGAAGCTACTAAAGAATAGCACAAAAATTTACATACAGGACAAAAGCTACTTTTTTTAAAGACTGTATAAACTTGCACTTGACAGAATTAGGAGCTGTATAAACATACAAGGACGAAAATGAAGGATGTGGACTACAGCTGTTTGTACTTGACATAAGATGCATTCTTATTCGTAAATTATTATTTATTACACAAGAACATTCACACTTGCATTCATAAAGAAGTACAATAAACACAAGTACAATATCAGCCGCAGAGCTAATCATCTATCTAATCCAGCCCATGATCAGAACTAACTGCGGCAAGTGGTCGATAAGTTTTGAGAGATAGCAAATCTTTAACAACTCTTCAAATATAAAGGACGCGGAGCCATTTAGTTTATTTAAATCTACATTGAATAAATTATGTACGCCTCGCGACAGTGAATTCACTACAAAAATAAATATATGATTTTTGTAATAATAGGTACTACTTGGTACTTGGTGTAACGGGCTGGTGTCCGCAACTCGACGTCAAGGCGCCTATTTTGCGTGTGGTTTGTAATAGTAAAAACTATATTAATTTATTAACGTGTTTGTACCAAATAATAATGTTTCTGTTTGTGTTTCATTGTGTAGCTTGTACTATGGTACCTCGATTGGAATACTGGCAATGTACTAATTAGTTTTAAGTTCTCGTGTAAGTGGCAATCATATTGTCTTAACGAGAATAAAGTATCATGTCGACACAGTTTATAAAAATACAGGAATTTCCCGTACAAAATCCTACATTTTATAAACTCAGATGCGTAAAAGGGAAACTTACCAAACTCTTCTCCCACTGCTTGAAAACATCAACAGCCTCTTTATAATAGCCAATATTGACGTCAACATCCACATTCGTCGTCTCGTCGTTATACTGAGCTATCAACAATTTTGCTTTTGCGCAAGTCTTCCTGTAAAATTATTTTATAATTAAGGTGTATTTAAGGTGAAACCCAAAATCGATTACGCTCAAAATTGGATTTTCCAACATTAAAAAATACTAATATTTTTTTTTTAAATTGATTATGAAAACAAAATATACCGGTAGTGAACCGATAGGTTCTTCGCTCCATAAAAAAAGTTCGGCAAAATTTTCATTTTTTTTACTGAGGTCATCTGCGGACGAATCGCATTCAACGAAGTTGCATTCAATTGTTATTAGAGATGTTTCAATATTTTCTCTTCCATGTTTCGTAATAAATACGTCAGGGGACTTTGCACTTATTTCATATTAAGAGAGTATATTTCCTTTCTAAAAGACATATGGAACGAATTTATAGGCGCATCTCTCCGCGTCTACCTCACACATACGCAACCACGATACTATTTCGCCTTAGCGTTTCAATGGCTTAACAAAATTGTTAACATTTAACCGGTATTAAGGAACTTAGAAATAAATTGGCTGGCTTAGATTGTTAGCTTAGGATTAGAAATTGTCTACGTATCGTCTTTGAATATGCAAATAGGAGATTAGACGACCACACTGTTTATTAGGGCCCACTCAAGTGAAGAGAATTTTGGACATCCGTGACTACGAGACCGGTAAAGGGCCTGAAACGTTGGTTTATTTAAAAAAACAAGTACACGCCATTTAGACCCGAAAAAATCGAGGGTTTTATTCAAAATGTGTAGCACCCTAGACACTCGATATGAAAGGGAATTTATTCTTTTCGTTGAGTTTTGACTAACATCAAAGTCAGTTTAAAAAAAAATACCTTCAATTAAGGCACTATTTTCCTTAAGTCACTTAAACTAAAACGAACAAATCTAAAAAACAAATAATTTAAAAAAAAAACAAATATTTTCAAAGGGTCAAAAATGTTCAAAGTACGTTTACATCTTCTTAGTATTTACGTAAAGTACTTTTAATACAACTTAGAAAACCAAATATTGGATGAGTACAAGAGTGATTAATTCGAATGCAGTTCGGTTTTTAATAGTAAAGGTCCAATATTTGCTCATTTTCAGCTTTGAACAATTTTTTTTACCACACCAATTAACCTGACTTTTCTGAATTCCCTGTTCTAAGAAAACGATAGAAACGATATTAACTTGGGAGCACTAACTAGAAACCCCAAACAGGAACCCATTTAGAAGAGTTAATTTCCCAAATTGGTCCTATCGGAAACCGAACCCACGATCTTCTCACTTATCGCCGGCTAATTATAATAATTTATTTTTTCGGACAACATAGATCCATATTTCATTAGTAACAGTCTTATACATACAATAGTATATATCATCACGCATATATCCCGTCGGGGTAAACAGAGACTATGGACCTCCTTCCCCTCTTCCACTCCCATTAATCTTGTAAACAGACTTATAAACTACGTTAGTACATTATTTGAAACTTATATCGAGTAAAATCTACGAGGTGCCTTTTTACAGGCTTCCATTTTCTTAACAATATGCGATTACCTTTGTTCTTGTTTGAGTTGATCTATCTGTGGATAAGCGTCCTCTAACCCGCGACGGAGGGTAGTAAACGCGTGCTCGTGTTGACCTCTCGCCCAGTACATCTTGGCTTTCTCTATGAACAACTCCTCTGGCTGGTATTCTTCCGCGTTCAAAATATACATGTAAGACTGTAAACATTATATACAGTTTATTACCAGCTTGGGAATCAGCGTACCGCACGGTATTTTCTAAATTGTAGTTCATGAACAAAATAAATAACAAACTATGCACTTTTCTTAAGAAAACATTGTTTAAGAAAAACGTCTTGAAATAGAGGCATGTTGCTCACTTGTGATATCAGAGCTTATTACAAGTACACGCGCGCAGTAAAGCGTCAAATAAAATTGTTTCTTTGGAGACGTGACACAAAAAAAGGTAAATGTATTCACGGAGACTAACAAGTTTTACTATAACATCATACAAGATGTTGTTATCAACTTAGCCAAAATGTACGGAACAAATCCCTTCTCCAAAAAAATAACTCCCCATACAACCGCTGATTCTATCACTTTGTTATTTTGTAATCGGGAATTATGAAATTCTATATGAATATATAAAGAAGAAAAACATTTATACGAATACATAAAAGGCAAAGTCTAGATCGATGTTTCAAAGTGGACTATATCAACCCCCAGGGGTCCATTCCAACCTATGTCCATATGAGCGAAAAAAAATAGAGGGTTCATGAGACTTTAATTTAGGCAGCTCGTTACAATTTTGCTTTCCATAAATACAATAATCGGGTGTGTAATATAAGCGTTATTAGACAGGGTGTAAATTTAAGACGGGGCAGCTACCTTAATCGTTAAAGTTACAGGAAAACGGTTCTAGAAGACTATCCATGAATTTTGAAGACATTTTGATAGGCATTCACAGATTTTAAAAAAATGGTACAGTCAGCAAGAGAAAAGGCAATTTTTACAAAACTTTTTTTTATGACATTCGATCCGGTCTCTGGTAAGGATTGATAATCTATCTATAAGGGACCAACTGAGGTAAGAGTACTCGAAATGTCAGAAATCGCAAAAAACTTTTATACGAGGTTGGGTCAGCACAACAAGTATTTTTCTTCCACTCTCGCCTATCAGCCGTCATTTTTATACTCACATCTTTCTTATCTATGTTATCTTTCACTCAATCCATCAACCCTAGTCCACTTGCCACATACTGGTGCTGCGTCAGCGCGTCGCCTATGGGGTACGCCCCATCATGGTCACTATTATCCTTCACTCTTAAATACAAGACATGTTGTAAAGGGATTTAGCATGGTGTTTTATGACCGGCCGACTGCCTGACGTCAACCCTCCTTGGGAATACTCGGTTTAATTACTTCCAAAATTAGTTTATTTGATTTTCACACAAGTGAGGCACAGCCGAAATAATCCACATCACACAGATAGTACAGTATAATAGCTAGTACGTACATAGGTAAATAATACTTTCTTATAACAGATATACATATAAATATACATAGATAAATAATACTTTCTTATAACAGATATACATATAAATAACATGTAAAGCAAAAATTTCGCAACAAACAACATAATAACTATACAACAAGAACTATATTCAGTTTTTTTTTATAAAGTTTGTCACTATACGGCTAAACTTATCAAAGTGAGAAGTTCTGTCTCAGTTGTCTAAAACACATATGAAATTGATGAATTTGTAAAAAAAATCCTTATTGGAAAGGCAAGGCGTCAACGAGATAAAAATATTTGGGAACCTCTGGTCTAGACTGACTATAGCATCAAGAAGTGTTATTAGTTTTTACCTGTTGGAATATACCAGCCTTTCTAGCATGTTTGGCGCTTTGCAGCCACAAGTCTCCTATGCACGCTTTCAATCTACTCGCAGTTTGAGCATGTGTCGGTGCTAACAGCTCCTGTAAGATTTAAATACAATTCAGTAATATTTCGCTGCTTTTTGACAAATGGTAACCCAATCTAAAATTAGGTACTCTTATGACGTATGTCTGGTATGAGATCAATCGGAAAATGATGAATTGTGAACGGGTTTCCAATATTTTCATTGGTTAGAATAATCACATGACAACATTGAAATGGTCTAAAATTCGTCAACTTTGCACGGCAGACTCGTATTTGTTCGATCTTTGTATTAATAATTCTAACAAACTAGTGGAGTAATGTCACAAATCAATCAATCAATCAATTCAATTAAAAATTAAGACACGTATTAGTTTTTTAACCATCTTCGTGATAAAATAGATGTTTTTGAGATATCCCGCTATTCTAGAAAGCCATTGATTAGTGAGCATCTAAATAACACAGGCTTAGTCACAGAAGGACAACATTATTTAGCCAGAAAAAATAATTGCCAGCACTGGTGGAAGTGGTGGAACTCCAGCAAATATATACATACCGTTTTAAACTTTTTTTTTAACATAAACAGGTTATGATACCGATGATGCTAAATTTGCTTTACAGATTGCAAAGATACAATAAACAACATATTTGTAATTTTTTTCTCCTTTACCTGTGTCTGCTGCAAAAATATTCTCCTCAATCTAAGCAAAGGCTCGATGGTACGGACGTCAGATTGTACCACTAAAAGACGTCGACGCCATTCGTCTAATAGTTGATTTAACACATCTGTAACTTGTCGATCACCATCACTTAACATCTTTAGTCTGAAATATACAAAATAACAGTCGATCCACTAACAGGTACCAGGTGAATTCTCAGGAAGGTTCTTGTAGTACAAAATGAATATGTATCAAATAAGTACTCAAAATGCTTTTTACAGTTACTTAAAAGCAGGACTGAAACATTGTTTTGTATTTTATATTCGATTTAAATATTCTATCATCGTTCCACTTCACCAGCCGGCAAAGGCCATAGGCGACTCCAAAAAAAGTATTTGCCATAATCGTCACGTTTATTTGAGAGGCGGTTGGCGATCGTTCAAAAGGTGCAAACTAGAAGTCGCTTTTTGCGTCACTGAAAGATATTTATTTGGGAGCGACAAACAGAAATATTCGTCTACGTTCTATATTTATCGTCAGGCGGGGTAAGGAAAACTTTTTTTTTTTCAAATGTTTTGAGCTCTAGGAAGAACAGGTAAATTCTTATAAGAATTTTGAAGTACTAAACTTGCCTCTGTTTATCAGCTCGACATGTTTTAACGATCATTACACTAAATTCAATACTCACGATGTATTTGCCGAAAACGAGCAAATTGTGTAAACGTTTCTCTTCCCCAAAAGATGGGGTAAGAGGAATAGTCATCGTATTTCTTATAAAGGCATTGACTTACAAATAAATGGAAGACGGGTCTAATACAAAAACCACGAAAAAAATGTCCCAAGTCAACCTATTTAAACGTAGTGACATGTAAAGGAATATGAAAAAGTTAAAACGTTGAATTTAAATTGTAATGTCATCGCAGTACTGTCTAATTTTGCTTGCAACAATTGAAAGGCGCAAAAAAACACCATATTCAGCTTCTACTGGAAACTTACCAAAATGCACCATATGTAGCTTCTAGTGAAAAGTAGGTACTTGAACACAGGTATAATGGAGTAGCCTTTATTATTTATAAATAAATTTTGTATGTAAATGTTGAATTTTATACAATGCCATTCATTACGAGCTAGGGTTTCTGATTTTTTTTCTTGAGTTTCGAGAATTCTCGTACCCGATTTCTCGAAACTCAAGAAATCAGCTCAATCAACTATAAAACTAAATGTGAACTTTTCGAAAGTTGATTGGCCTGGGTATTCTGAGTTGTGCCCCGAAATAAATTCCATCGTTCTTGGTCCCAGGTTCGATTCCCGGTAAAACCAATTTGGAAAATGAACTTTTGTAAATTGGTTCTGCTCTGGGATTCTGTTGCTCTGATACTCATGGGGAGTATGTACAGAGAGTTCCCTAGTTTCAGACCAGGTGATTGTCTTACAATAGAATACCAAGACCAGAACCATTTACAAAAGTTAATTTGTTAAATTGATTCTACCGGTATCGAACCCGGGAACTTCTCATCCAGTGCCCACAGTGCAAACCGTGCAAACCGTTAGGCTATCAAGGTTGTACTATTTGTATTATTATGCATTGTTTGCATGTGAAAGCTACAAAATACTTAAACTTTAAAAAAAATCCTATTTAATATGCAGTGTCAGTCTGCTTCAATTACCTTCTGTTTCTTAAGTTGGTATATTTTGTCATTCGTCCAACTTTTCATTTTTAATGCATTTTGACGGTGTAAGATATTCTCTGTTAATACTTGTCACTTTCTCCTTAAGTCCAAGCTATGTTTATTGGATAAATTCCTGTATTCTCTCCTTCCTATGCACAGTTCACTCATTGATGTAATCACATACCAAAGCTTTAATATAAATTTAATAAAATTTAATATAATGCCTAGGTACCAAAAACCGGTTCTTACTAGCAATGTTGGCAAAGCTGTTTTTTTTTAATTTTCGTAAGCCTTTGCTGGTTATGTAGATATCCTATTGTCTGAAATGAGCCGAGCAAATAAATTTGTATATTTTCGGGATAAAATGTTCTTCTCGTCGCGATTCAGCTATTATATTTCTCCATAGTGAGCAAAGTATAGGATCTCGAGGAAAACTGAAATAAATACATTTATTATGCCATGCCATAAGAAATGTACCGATGTTTCGATTTTTTTAAATTCAAATTCAACGTAAAGCCAAATTTTCATAATCCTGAAAACCGATTCATAATAAAACCGTTATGCTTTAGGGAGTTTTGGATGCTTATTACAAAGAAAAGACTAAGTTAGCTTAGGTTTGTTTTGTAATATTCTAAAAAAAACCTAAAAAAATACTTTCGGGATTATGGGAATTCATGCAAACGTTATTTCGGGCAAATGTATTTTCGGTATTCTGATTCGTAACCCCAAGCCGTAGAAAGAGTACAACAATACTTGAAAGTATTACTAACATGTGTTAAAAAATATTTTAATAATAACATTAGCATCAAAGCGACTCTATGAAATTTTTGTTCTAAATATTTCAAAAGCTTGTGTTTGAAACAATTGAAATTGACGTGTTGGGTCTCTTTCAGTCTTTTACGCAAGCTATGAGTCGGAAAGAGACAGTTAACTATTTGATTATTTTGATTGTTTTTGTAATTTATATTTACGATTAATTTAAATATAAATTAAATACTATATATAATAGTGCATAAAATAACACTTTTAAATGATAACTATGATAACACAATGTAGTACTTACTGAAAATATGATATACCATCCTGTTTTTCATTTTAGTTGAGTAATTTTTACAAGGTTTTACTACACAATACGGCATCATTGACAAGCGCGCTGTCAGTCGAACAAACGAAGACTAAAGCGTGAATGACGCTCTGTATACGATTTTAACGGCCTATAAGTTCGGACACTTTTTAGCGCGGACCCGACGTCCATATAATTGTAAGTCAATGTATAAAGGTAATGATACCTCTTCTTCTTTAGAATGTTATAGCTCCATCGATACCATCGATGATTCCGCCAATGCCGAGTTAAGAAACACACGTGTTCTCAAGATTTCACAATTGTCAAAAACTTTTGGATTTGGAGCATTGTAGCGACATCTCTTTAAAATCGTTTAAACTAATTTGTTTGTCCGTTTTATCGACTAAGAGACTACAGTACTAAACTCTTCTAGATTATGAGTTAAGGTTTCAAGTCCCTGTTCGCCCGGTGTTCCTCTTACCTCACCTAACCCTACTATTAATCCACAAATAATATGCCACATAGAAAAAATTAACTAAATAATTAATAATAATAGGCCACCTTCTCAAAACTTCCTCAACATGTCCAGCTTCGCTCACGATATGCAAACCAAGCACACTTTGATATCCACTGCGTAGCGCGCTCTCGCCTTTCGTCTCCCCGTCCATTTGAGCCAGCAACCTACTCATAGCATTATTGCAAGATGCGACGAATGCATCGTGGTCTTGGTTACGATATGCAAGCAGTACCTTGCCCATTAGGAGTCCCCAGTTCTCTCGACATGTCGGCTGAAATAAATTTTACTATCCTTACCAAAAATACATATTTTTTATAGTACTAAGTGACAGGATATACAAGTCATGCGCCTGGTGGTAAGCGACTAGATATGAGCGCCATATAATAGACCAACCGGCGGAGGCGTGCCGACGAAAAAGTATCGACGGCGGCGGCGTTTCGGCGGTGCAAGCGCGACCCTAAAACGATTTTTTGAACGACTGTTTGTTTTTACAAAAACCGTTATACAAATACTTTTTCAAAGGAAAAAATAAAATAACGTATTTTCTATAGTAATCAAATTTTTATCAGTTCGATCAGACGCTCCGATCGTACGCACGCGCACGCTTCCGTATTGTGTACGCGTAGTGAAAATTGCAACGCCAGAAATTGACAAATATTTTTTTTAAACAAAACATCTTTAAATATAAAGTCACTAAAAAACTTTTGTCGCCCATCTATGCCACCTCTGCTGACGGCACGCTGGCCTATACTGCAGAAGACCAGGCAAACCTTTTTGCCTCACTCTTTGCAAAGTCTGGATCTCATCTTACCTCAGGCTGGCTACACTATGGCGCCAATTCGCATACGCCAAAAAGAAGTACTTAGAACTTTGCGGAATCTAGACGTGAATAAAGCTAGCGGGCCAGATGGAATTCCAGCACTAGTACTAAGTTACTATGCGCCTGAGTTGTCTCCTGTTCTCACACGCCCATATCGCCTCTCACTTTAGACTGGTGTAGTTCCCGGGTCGTGGAAGCTTGCAAACGTGCAACCTTTGCCGAAAAAAGGAAGCAGAGCTGACTCTGCAATATAACATAAATATAATAATAATATATAAATACATATAAATACTCAACAACCGTCTCCTGTCGTACCTTGAAGACAACGACCTCCTCCGTGATCGCCAGTACGGATTCCGACGAGGGGAGGGCGACGATCTACTGGGGATCTTCTTGTATATGCCTGTCACATACGTAGCGAGGCTATAGAAAAGCTAGGCGAAGCACTTGCAGTGTCTTTAAACATTTCTAAAGCCTTTGACAGGGTCTGCCACTCAAGTCTTTTAAGTAAGCTTAACCTCTTATGGGTTTCCCACTGATCTTTGCAATTGGATCTCAGATTTCTTGAGCGAGCATTCCATTCGAGTGGTCTTAGAAGGCTACTCTTCCGAACATATAGCGATAGATTCCTCAAGGTTCAGTACTGTCTGGAACTCTCTTTCCGCTGCATATCAATGGTATGTTAATTCCAGGTACCTTTGCGTATGCTGATGACAACACAGTTGTTGTTGTAGATAGGTACTTGACCAATACAAGGGTCAATGGAGAGGAAATCCAATCGTGTTGAGAGTCTATGGTTAGCCGTTTGGATTTGACACTCAAGGCAGTCTCCGATTGAGGCGATGCCAATCTTGTCAAATTTAACGCTACCAAAACGCAGGCGTGTCTATTCTCCACAAAACGGAGTCCCTTTGAGCTGACTCCGACTTTTCGTGATATATCCACACCGATAGCCGACTGTCTCCAGCTACTTGGAATGGACCTGTCGTCCAATTTGTACTTCGGCAGATACATTGAATCCATGGCCAAACATGCAGCAAGGAAGCTTGAGATCCTTTCCAGGGTAAGGCGTTACTTCACACCGGGACAGTTGCTTCAGCTGTACTAAGCACAAGTCCGATCGTGCATGGAGAACTGCTGCCACCTTTACGATGGCTCTGCTACATACCAAATGGCCACCTTGGATTCAATTGACAAGCGTGGCAAGAAGCTTATAGGTGACTCGGAATCAGTAGAGGCGAAGCTGCAGAGCCTTGAACACCGCCCTAAAGTTGCCAGCTTATCGGTATTTTACAGCATATTTCACGGAGAGTGTGCGATGGAATTACACGACTTAATTCCGCTTTCCCCTTTCCATCACCGGAAGACTAGGCGTAGGCGTAGGTTCCACCTCTATGTCGTGGATATTCCAAAGATTCGCACGCGTTACGCTTCCACGTTGATATGGCGAACGGCTATGGAGTGGAATTCCCTGCCTGCAGACTTGTTCGCCTGCAGACTTGTTCCCTGAACGTTATAACTTCGGCCTTTTCAAGGCGAAAGTGAATGGGCATTATTTAGGTGTGCATGGTCCATTGTCGACCTCATCGTTACTTTCCATCAGGTGAGATGGAGGTCAAATGCGAACTTACATTTTATAAAAAAAAAAATTATCTTAGAAAAGTAATTTTCTGGCGTCGCCATTTTCGCATACACAATACGGAAGCGTGCGCGTGCGTACGATCGGAGCGCCTGATCGAACTGAACGGCGCGCCGATTGCATTTGTCGGCGGCGGTGGCGCGAGGAAAAACGCGGCGGCGGCGGCGGCGGAGGCGCACCGACATAACCGACAGCAAAGCCTGTCTACAGCAGTTGTAGTGCCACTTTCTTCTTCTTCAAGTTTCACCAGCACCCTTACCCTTCAAAACCGGATCGCAGTAATGCTCACAATACTGCTTGACGGCAGAAAAAGGTAACGTGGCAGTACTTCCCTGGAGGAACTCTTTCACGGCATAGTAAATAATTTTGTACAATGAAAAAAGTTTATAATTTAAATTCATGTGTATGAACTTAATGAAAAAAGTAATTATTTATTACTTTTAAATTATTTAGCTTTCGAAAACTTAATTTTATTTTTGCTGGCAAGTAAGTAAATACTTGTTTGATTTTGTTAGCGTTTATTTACTCATGAGTAAAGTACATAATAAATAGTAGTTTTTATTTGATATGTTATCTTTTTGATCGCGTATAAAATTACTAATTTAAATATTTCAATTATTAATTATACAAATAATAATTGCATTTTCCCGAACTTTCAATGTATGTTTAGCAACTTCAGCATTCGTAAAATTTACATGATAATTTACTGTTTTTCTTATTACTGATCTTATTACAGTTTTTGTATTTTCTTAGTATTCTTTAATGTGTTTTTTTTTCGTATTCAGTCGAATAGCAAAAAACAGGCTGAATAAGCTAATAATATTCGTTGCAACTCTAATAATTATACAAGCACTAACCACAGGTTTTTTCGCTAAGTCCTCGAGTCGATCAAACCGGCCCAGGCGCCATAGCGGCTCAGCAGCTAGCTCCATCATCCTGTCATCAGACTCGTGTTCGCTAAGCAAACGATGTGCTGTGAACGGCTGATCTAAGCCCAGGTAACAGTCTATCATGCCCTGAAACAAAATACACATCATATTCTGTAAAAAAAAATTATACGATACATGGGCTAATGAATCGTCTAATTTGAAGACTTCAAAATTCCTTCAAATTACACGCTAGTAGAAGCGTCGAAGTCGCGCAACAGTGGCGCAACTGTGACGCGGTAGCTGCACGCTTCAGTAATTTTTAGTTCACTAATTGTGACTTCAAAAGTGGCGCGCGTGTCTCGACAGTGGCGCTGCTACTGCGCTTCTAAATATTGTATGAAAATTAGTGGCGCGACTGCAGCGCCACAGTGGCGCCACTGCAGCGCTTCTATAAACATATGATTTAGAATACTCAACACGAAAATATACAGAAGGAAATAAAAAAAAGACAAACCAAAAGTAAAAAAAACAAAAAAATATATTAAAAAAAACAACGAAACATAATCTAATTATAAAACAGTCAACTTAATTTGAATAAATGTCATGTGTGCGGCTGTAACGTATGTAAAAGGATCCACTCAGCTAATGTAATAACGCGGTGTAATAAAGTAACGCGGATTTATTACTAATTTCAAGACGCCCTTACTCGATCGACCGGTTAGAAAAGAAATTGGTAGGCAAATTCTAATCATAAATTTCCTTTCTTCGTTTCTTTCCTTGCTTTTTTTCATGATACCAAGCGACGGGTCGAACAAGTCGTGGGTCTAGTGATAAGCGATACTCCCAAGTCACAAAATCTGAGGGACATTGCCACTGGACCCGTCACCTTGAGACATAAGTTGACAAGTCCCATGAACCTGTAATTTCATCAGCACCCTTACCCTTCAAAACCGGAACGCAGAAATAGGTAAGGTGGCAGTACTTCGCTGAACTACATCCTTCACAAGGAGCCCTACTTCTACTATTTCTACACAGAGCTCACGATACCACATCCTAAGCGTATTCGCTCCGAATCCAAGCCTATACAAATCTAGAAAACTCGGACACACTTCGGATGTTGCTCCGATTCGAAGAGAAAGTATGAACCTAGAGATAAAATAATACCTGTGTCTTTCGGACAGTCATTTCTCGGATTCGGAACTGATAAGGATCGGACGTAGTGCGCAAGCGCTCTTAGACAAAACACATACCTGCAAACTATGTCTATCGAGCTGTCCTTCTTGTGCAAGTCGCTCGTAACATAACGCCGCGTCTTGAAGCCTACCAGTCACTACTTGGGCCAGGATTAGCTCTTTTAAAGACGGCTCTGATCTTTTGATTGATAAAATTCCTGTAAAGATTCATAATGCTATTTTTCTAATAACGCTGATTGGGCGAAGGCGAAGTCTTAACTCCTGGCGAACGAGGCAAGCTTATTCGCCAACGGCGCGAAGGTTGCTCTGCGATGAGCAATCAGTGTTATTAGAAATAACTTCAGTACAAAAATATAAATACGCCGATCAATGCCGAGCGTCAGCGTGACTGGAAAATCGGCCTAATATTATTTTATTCTTAGTTTAATTGTTCGCATAACAATTGGACAATTGGAATGTTACATTTTTTAATAAACATATTATATATTAACCAGGTGTTTATATGGTCCCAAGTGTGTACGGTGACTTCACATGACTTTAAAAAACATGTAAATTGGTTAACGTAAACATGTAAAGAATTTTAAGTTTGTTTTGAATAATAATTATGAAATGGTGCGACTAGTATTAAGTTTCTACATTCATGTACATATTGTTCGTAGTTAAAATTAATTCTTGCATAAGTTGAATTACGGTGTTTTCTATAGACTCATCAATAGTCTATAGAATACACAAATGAAAGTATTAAAAAATATATATTTAAAATGTTTCATTTCCTACTTGCAACAATTGTGAAAATCTAAGAACTCGATTTTAATTAGGAAATTTAGAAAATTTTACACATGCATAATTAGTTTCATGTCGTTTTTTTCTACCACCAACACCAAGTGATGAGACGAACAAGTCGTGCGTCTGGCGACATGCCTGTCCATAACAACTGCAGTGCCACTAAGAGCATTAAATCGCAAAGATCTTAGGGGCACTGCCACTGCGCCCGTCACCCTGAGACGGAAGTTGACAAGTCCTATGTGCCTGTAATTTCACTAGAGCATCCTTACCCTTCAAGACCGGAAAGCAGTAATGCTCACATTACTGCTTGACGGCAGAAATAGGTAAGGTGGCAGTACTTCCCTGGACAAACTCTTTCACAAGGTGCTCTACTGCTACTGTAGTTCATATTATTTTCATGTGATAAAAGCACTTTTGAAGTATGTCACATGTAGCTTAATAAAGTGTAATAATAATCATTACGTGTAATAATAATCTCGTTGTCGTGGTGTAATAAACAACACCACGACAACAAAACACTAAGAATTTTCTATACGGTTATCTAATGACTACATACCAGCAACGGCGTCCGGTTCATCCAATAAAGCGTAAATCTCAGCCAAGAACGGCAGCTGTTCCTGGATCCTTCCCTGCCGTTCGTCCATATACAGCTCGAGATATTGCAAAGCTCGCTCCAACTCGCCACATAAGAAGTTGCCTTGTGCTATTGTTAGCTTGTCGAATTTCTCCATAAATGAGGATATTGCTCTATAAAGTAAAATAATAGTACATTGTGTAAAGGGCGGTAAATAAGAAATTACTAACGAGAGCTTATAAGAAACCCGAAGCCGAAGGCTGAGGGCTCTAATGACTAAAGGTTGTAATTTTTACCGCCCGTGCTACATACAATGTCTTTCATCAAATTTGCGAGGAAATAGATACAACGATAATTTATTTCTTGTATAAATAAATGTCGCTGTACAACACAACATTTACGGATTTTGTAAACGGCGGGTTATTAAATTTTTTTAAACAAATTGCCAGCTACTCTTCCATTGATAATACAACTAAAAAAAAATGTTGTAAAAGGAACAAACACATGCAGCCAGTGTATTAGACATACAATAAATAATTTCCAAATTCTAAAAATACTGTAGAATTTGTATTCACAAAATAAATTTAGTAAAATATAATTAAATTGCAAATGTTTACTCTTTTTATACTTTAAGTTTATGCGAAATATACGGTCAGATTTTTCGAGCATAAAAACTTTTTGCTTAATATTGATGAAAAAAATCCATAGGTCGATAATGTAATGAAAAGGCCCGTGAGAATAATTTAGGACATTATGGTCGATTGTGCCTGCATGTCATGTCATGACACAGGGAATTTTTTCTTTACTAAAGAAATAGCGAAAACTACCATTGAAAGAAATGAAGCTATGTAACTAAGACAACGTAAAATCTGGCTGATACAAACGTAGACATAGACGTATTGACATTACAGTATAGTGAATTGAATTGTGAATGTAAGTTTGATAATTTAGTAAAATTGAGTTTGATAATTGAGTAAAAAGTTATATGAGATGAATTAGTACAATAAGGCGTAAAGATTCTATAAAAGACATTATTATTAAAATAAAAACAAAATTAGACAATTTTAAGTAAGTTGTTCAAATGGGTCTGAGATGAGTTAAAGCATGTTTGACGTCACATGCCGCAAAAGCAACCTCGCCTTCTGCGCCGTGACTTGACATTATAAAGAAGCAGCAAAAGTGGCATTATAAACACTACACATATTGAAATAAAAAAGATATCTAATTTACTTTTATAAAATTAAATTAAAATAATAAAAGTAGCAACAAGAGCATTGTAAAGGATCATTGCATGACATGGGAATGTTGCGTTTACGATCATTATTCAATCAAAAATTCAAAGTGTAAATTTTATGTATAGCGTTCCAAGTATTTTTTTTTCAAAAATTCAGAGTTCAACAATATTTTTAAATTTTTCATACATTATAGAAAATACAATAAACACTTACTTATAATTCTCGTTTTCCAACGGCCGTTGCTTTGAATGACACCACTCCAAAAGCCATCTGTTCAGAAAGTCGAACAGTGTATATATCGTTTTACAACATTTACTCTGATTTCCTTCCTCAGCTTGTATACTGTTGATGCTAGGAGTCATTCTGATGTGACGTAACATTTTATATTTGGTTCGCTCTGTTGCTACCGTTGTTTCATGTTCAAAGTTCTCGAGACCTATTAACAATTTAATTCAACCTTTAAAGGCAGTCAATTGAGTACCTGAGATTATAAAACGAACTTTCAACTTCAACTAAGCAAAAATTCGACCTAAGAACGGAAGAAAAAAACAATGGAAGTGATCAAAGATCAAAACCGCTGTCCCCAAAACTCAGACATTCATAATTTAAACATAGGAAATCTTGATAAGGATTGATCGTAGTTTCTAATTTATAAAAATGTAACGAATTCTGGACTGTTAATATAATTTAAACTTTACTCTTTTGGCACATCATCGTTGAAAGTTCAATACCTATTATTGCAAGTTACGATGTTTTGATTTTATATATTTATAATTAAAATTTTAATCAATGTGCTACCATATAGCGGTCTAGCGGTCAATAGGTGAACGACGAAGAAGCTACCATATTGCATCGGTATAAGGTTTACTTTCGTTTCTTGTAACAAAAAAAATATTACGATAAACAGAAAATTGAAAATTTATTAAAATTAAATAAAATAAGACTTAACGGTGATATAATATAATATTATAATAATAATAACGGACACACTCAAAATAGCCCCCACTAGGAAAACCATGAGTCGCGGGTGCCATGGACACACATAGACAACCACAAATTACACACAAACTCACGAGAGAGAAATAAATGTAAGCCATACAAATATTGGACTGAGCTCAAGTATGTGGAACTCCACGTACTGTTGGCATACGTAGCATGCCAATTAAGCACTTCTACTGTATTTATTGTTATGTGGAGCTAACCAAGTTTTTCGTACGTAAAAAAATAGCTTTATACATATAAGCAAAAAAATTACGAAGTACACTCAAAGTTTCATTTATTTTCTTACTTAAACTTAGGCGAAGTTCGTTGTCTCAATACGAAACTTGCTTAGCTCGCCATTTTTACTTAGTCGAGGTTAAGGCACCATGTTCCAAAGTAATTCAGATGACTTTTATTTACAAATAACACACGAAACTCACCAATAACGGCAAGAATTTCCTCCTGCACGTACTGCGGGTTGTTCTTAGACATTATAGAGTGGAGTAACACATACGGCAAAAATAAGAATAACGTTCTGACGTCACGGCGCATGCTTGGTTGAACTGTGCGCAGGAGTTCGCGGATGCTTTCAGATTCTATTAGAGGAATCAGTTGACCAGCCCAGCTAATAAAAAAATGTCAGCCAATTAACAGTGACATTTTTTAAAATAAAGTAAAAAGTAGAAAATATTTACAAAATATTCCATTTCTCAGTACATGAGCACCCTGTTGCAAAACCCACCAACTGTCATACATGCAACAATTTTATGTAGTTGTCTTTGTACCATTACAACATATTCATAACTTCTCCGAGTATTGTTAACTCTTTTTAACTGTTACTATTAAAAGCAGGCCGTTACACTGAGGTTCAAGGTGGTGAACTTACTTGTAAGCCCATTCAAGAAACGTGGTAGCATAAGCCGATCCAAATAAAGGGTGTGCTTTCTTTGGCTGAGAAGGATACGCCAAAATGTATCTGAAATAATGAAATTAAGAACCAATAAATTAAAACTCGCAGCACAACTTATAAAAAAAGTGAAAATAAAGCAAAAGATGAAGAAAAGAACGCAATCTGTTTTTCTCATTCTTTAGCTAACTTCAGTTTTTATAAAAATGTAAAGAATTTGTATTTCCCTTACTTTGAACTAAGCAAAGGATGCATAATCTGATGCATATGCTCAGGAAAACTCTCCCAGACTTCTTTTTTGCTACCAGTGGGTGATACATCGTAAATTTTTAACATCTCCTGTATGGTTAGGGCGTAACAATCCATGTTCTGAAATGTTTTCTATTTACTTATTCTACTTTTAATTCGAAGCAGACAATGAAGAAATGGTGGTTACATTCAATCTGAATATGATCTTTAAGGCCACAAATTCGCAATATATTATGAACGCACCACTGTTGCGAATGTGTGGCCTAAGTCTACTAAATTCATTTAGTAAGTGGATATCGTTAAAGTACCACTTACCGTGGTATCTTTCTCATACTGAAAAGCTCTACAAAGTTCTACAAGGGCAGTGGCAGCGAAGCAGTTGTCGCCAATCGAGAAGGCGAATGGAGAGCGGTCGGGTTGTACGTACTGCCGCGGAAGATGACCTGCTTCTATCGCTCCAAGTTGACCAAGACACGCGCCACTTGCAGCGCTTACTTGGGAATCTGAGTCCTTACATCCTAACAAAGAATACGACATAAGGTAAAATCAAGACTACAGATGGACAAGCTCTGAAATATACATCTTATCCTTACCAAGCAGTAAAGCATCTATTAGGTCCACTATAATGGGATCAATAGATTTTCCAGCAAAAATCGCTTTGTGAATGTCAATTCTATTCATCTTTAATAGCTTGTCCAAGTGGGAGAAAGCGTATGCTTTAATACTAGGTATATCTTGGTTCAAATGCTGTAAGTACCACTTAATCTTGTCTAAAAATTCTTCAGGCTGCGTTCTTCGCACATGCCTTTTGATAACCATCTTAATTTTTTCAGATATTTTGGTGTTCTCCAAAAAGAACAAATCAGACATGTGAGAGCTCAGCAGATTCTCATTGTTCAAGACAAGATAGTGGAGTATTTTATTGATTTCTTGCGGTGCATGTTCAAACTGCTGTATTAATGAAACTGCAAGATTTGACAACAATGGCCCCAAAGATATACTGTCTATGTTATGAATGAATGCGCTCCATGCTTCAGCTAGTATTTTCGGAAACTCCTTCGCTAATGGCAGAGCAGATCTCAAGGTTGCTAGCACTTTAAATCTTAACGGAGTCAAATACTTGACTCCCATTAGTTGCATAATATCAGGAAAACTCTTCAACGCCTTTCTCTTGACCGATAATGCCACTTTAGCATTGACCAATTTATGATCAAAATAAGCCAGGACGCCCAAAAATTTTGGATTCAAAAAATCTGCTATTTGGGTAGTGCTCATGCCTATACTGTCAATTGCTGTCGAGACATCAGGGTCATGACAAGCCAGGAATCTGCAAGCATTCAAGACCTTTTCTGTATTGCAACAATATTGCAACAGGAATTCAGTCAATATCACTCTGAAGTGCTTCTTTATCAAGTTTAGTATGGAGGTCTTTGTCAATTTCTCGATAATATCATAGCATTTTTTCGACACATCTTTATGTTCATTCAGATAAACATGAACATAAATGTGTGGGAATCGCTCAACGAGAAAATCAGACCCCGAACATTGTACCAAAGACGCTATTTCCTCAATCATTGACGGAACTTCTTTTATAGTTACTGAATAAGGTATAAGGTACGGCAGAAAATGGTGGACATCTTTTGAAATGAAATCTCGGTATCCAACAAAACCGAACGCCCTGACAACTTTGAGAAGTGCAATGGCAAAATCTTTGCCGTTATATAAACTGCATTCCACAAACAGTCTGCAGTAATCCTTCTTGAATCTGTGGTACACTTGATTGGGTGTGAATCCTTGTCTTTCGCATACCTCTCTCAAGTAAACAACAGCTTTAGGTCCAAGAGAGCATTGTGGATGCATAATAAAATACACCAATAACTTTGTTACTGGTAAAACAACTTTATCATTGTTCTTCATTCCAAATTCTTTTATATTGTTCAATGTTTGTGCTTGTACAGTATAGTCATTGTTTTCTAGACATAATTTCGTTGTTCTGACCAAAATATTTATGCACAGAACAAAAGCTGCCTCCTTGTTACCATTCCATTCAATGTCGTTCTCAACCTGAAAAATTAAAAATTGACAAACCATCCTTGGTTATTATTTCCTGCAAAATATCTCTTAAATATTAAGGCACGTACTCACAATAGAATTGTCAACATATGCTTTAAGAGACTTCAGTATCTGGGAACAATTTTCTTCTCGAACAATTTCGGTTGAAAGTCCATAATTAAAGGCATAATAATGGTTGCTCAACCTCTCAAAAACTTTCCAATATTCAGTGTTCTCAATAGCTTTATATTGTTTTTCGTTTAAAAACTTAGAAAACAAATGACGAAGGCCAATAACAGTTTGCAGTTTGGATGTTGTAGCAGAATCAGATTCTGAGAAGATTTCTATATTTGGTTTTTTCATGTTAACAATTTCATTTCCATTATGGCATTTTGAGCAAACAACAGATATATGCAAAGTTCCACTGGAGAATATAGTATGCCCTAAATCTTTGACAGTTGTAATTACCACACAATAAGAACTCATTGATATGCAAGCTAGGACTGGTACAGTTTTGGAAATTTCCTTTTGAATTTCTTCGTCTTTTGTAAGAAATGCTGGTATTAAAATATCTCCAATCAGTTTCCCTGCTGAGATGTTTTTAAAAGTCGCTTTGTTCAGTAGAATTAACGGGCACAACGTAATTATCTGAAATCCAATCATTTTCATATAATATATTAAGAATATTATTATATTTATTGCAAATTCCAATCAGTACTACTTGACTCAACAGCTAGGTACTGACCAGATCAACATACCTCTTTACACACATCTGTAGTTTTTCTTTCATTTAAACTGTAAATCAATGATAAGATTCTTTGATTTTTCTCTTCACTGTCAAACTTTATGTGCAATTTCAATGCTAGTATATATTTCAAAACTAAAGTATCGACATTTTCCCTGTTTTTATCATAGTATTCTTTACTAACTGATGTCAAATGACCATATAAAATCTCGAATATTGGATTAATTGTTTCAAATTGTGTACAATAACCATAAGGAATTATTACACTAAATATAACATCTAGACCCAATTTTAAATGTTTGTTGTCTTGTAGAAAGTCATGTGTATGTTCACTCATTAATTTTAATAAAATTCTTAAGCCATCCAAGCAATGCTTTTTTTGTAATAAAGAATCACAACGAAGACGACTGTCTGTGCCATTGAATAGCACTTGCATATTGACTTGAACTTTCTGTAGAATGGTCAATACAACTAAACATCTCTTTAAATGATAAGATATCAGTAGTTTGTCATCATGTTTATCACAGCAAGCCATCATTGCATCCCAAATAACATCACTTACTTGACAATAATGCCAACTATCTGATAATGGAACATGCTCTATGCTTTCACTAATATTTGCCACATGTGCCATTATCTTGGTGTAATAGTAATGGGATAGCTTTTCTACCTCACTAGCATCTCTATTTTTGATACTAGTAATGGCTTGCGGAAATTGTAAAATGTTGCTAAGCGATAGACAATACAACTTTAAGTGTTTATTGAAAACTTTGCTTTTTGTCTGTAGTATTGTTGTACATATTGTCAATAATGCCCGTTCATGTTCATTGTCATAATTACTTTCAATAATTGTAAGTAAGTTACTTATGACATCATTAAATTTGTCTAAATGCATCATGCTGATTTCTCCTTTGTCATGTAGCACTTCCATTGCATTAACTACAGCTTCTAAACAATTCAGTAACTCTGTGAAAATATTTGGAAACGTCTTTTGGAATTTGAATACAGCTACTTGGTTATAATTGATTAAGAGATTGGAAAAAAACTTGAGCGAGACTAGTTTCAGATCTGTGCTAAAGTTTCCTAACATGAACAAGACTTCATTAAATAATTCTTCGTGTGATATCTTAGTTTTAGCAATATGCAAGGAATTTATGGGTATACTTCTGGACAGCAGCTGTAAAGTAAAATCTATTAAAATTTTACATGTCTTGATGTCATTTACTTCAACAAATATTGGCTCTAAATTCAGTGGAAGATTTTGATCATCAATCTGTTCTGATGTAAAGTTTTCAAGCTTCAATTCTATACTTTCATTGGGATCTGAATGGTCTTTGTAATAATGTACCAATTTTCTGAGAATTGAACAATATTCAAAGTGAATCTTTTCATAGAAAGGTGCTCCATTCATGCCCAATATATTTAGAATTTTTAATTGAGCTTCTTTCGACGACACATGTATTCTGCAAAAGACAACACATACATACACATTTAACAAGAAAACAAACTTTACTCACTCAGCACAAAAAAAAATTCATTTAATAAAGTGTTTCATAATTAACATAAATACTTAGAGTAAACAATAAGTGCATGTTATATCAAGCTTAAACGGCATATTAGTAAGTACTGAATTATTGTTATCTTATTCCAATATATAAACACATGCCGTACCAACTTGTAAATGAAACAACACAACTTGTAAATTACTATTATTGTAAGTTGTCCCAAATAAATAAACAATCTTTTTTTACACAATAACCATTGACTTACAAATAAATGGACGAGGGGTCTAATACTAAAACCACGAAAAAAATGTCCCAAGTCAACCTATTTAAACATAGTGACATGTAAAGGAATATGAAAAAGCTAAAACGTTGAATTTAAATTGTAATGTCATTACAGTACTGCCTAATTTTGCTTGCAACAATTGAAAGGCGCAAAAAAACACCATATTCAGCTTCTACTGGAAACTTACCAAAATGCACCATATGTAGCTTCTAGTGAAAACTACTTGAACACAGGTATAATGGAGTAGCCTTTATTATTTATAAATAAATTTTATATGTAAATGTTGAATTTTATACAATGCCATTTATTACGAGCTAGGGTGTCTGACTTTTTTTTCTTGACTTTCGAGAATTCTCGTACCCGATTTCTCGAGTTATTCGAGATTTTTTTAAAAAACCGTAAAAAATCAGCTCAATCAACTATAAAACTAAATGTGAACTTTTCGAAAGTTGTTTTGACCTGGGTGTTCTGAGTTATGCCCCGGAATAAATTCCATCGTTCGTGGTCCCAGGTTCAATTCCCAGTAGAACTAAAGCGTGATTGACGCTCTGTATACGATTTTAACGCCCTGTAAGTTCTGACACTTTTTAGCGCGGACCTGACGTCCATTTATTTGTAAGTCAATGACAATAACCTTTTTTTTTAAACCGGACTAAAATAAAATAGATGTATACTTTGTTTCAATCCATTTTGAACAAAAAATAAACAAAAAAGTCACCGACCCGACCATAGACGGTTTAGTGATGGCCAATTGTAACGCCAACTACAATTTAATGAATCGATTTGTTCAATTGAGTCATACTAGCAGTTTTCCTTACATAACCTATATAAGCATATTTAAAATACTTAGATACTCATTCAAAACTTTAATTGATTGAACTGAATGTTTTTTGTTTCAAACAGCACTATGCAACCATAGGCAAGTCATAGAAATATAGATGAATAATAACCGCACTTTTGAACGATCATTTTTCAAATACGATTTTACGATGCTATTCAAATGAATATTGTTGGAAAAAGTGATGATATATCAAGTTGAAACCTTCGAAATATACGTGAAAGTGTTACTTATTCGATTTATTGAGTGATTGCTTTAGAATTTTAACCAAACAGGTTTGTTTACTTTTTGTTTAAAATGGATTGGAACAGACTATAACTAAAACTTATAACATGTTATATTTAACTACTATCTAACTCTCTATGTTATATTTTATTAATCTCTAACTACTATATGTTATATTTTACTAACACAAGCTCAAAAGGTAAAAAATTAACGTGTTAATACCGACTAAAATAAGTTGTGTATACTTACCGGTTTAATTGTTTTACAGACCAAATATAGAAGAGCCTTCCCAGTAGCCATGTATTGAAACCGCAATAATAAGACTCCGGATATTTTGAAGAGGCAGACCTTGGTACAAGAACTTCGGAAAAATCACTACAAATATTAAAAAAATATTATATTTACTACATCCTGTCTAGGTTAAGTGTTTATTTACATTTTGCAATTAATTACGTAAAATGATAATCTAATAAAGGTCTTTAGACCGCAAGGGTAGTGAAATTTCGACACTTTACACACGTACCCCGATAATTTCAAAATTGAAGTCAATAATCTATCAAGTCCGTCTTCGGCATGTTCCAAGTTGTTGAATAGCACCATAATAGGAGCATTAAACATCTGCCACACCGTAAGTGGGCCGTCTTGATTGTCATCTTCCATTTCTATTACACGTTTAATAAGCCTAGCGTGAAGACGAGATCAAAATAGCACAAAAATAAATCCCTTTTATATATTATTCTACCATTATGTCGGAAAACTCAAAATCGGTCGAATGACAGTTGACAATTCCCGCTCTTTTTTTATTTTTATTTATTAAGGCTTTGGCAAAGCCATCAGCCTAAACATGAAGTTTAATTATGTTTCTGTAAGCATGGCCGCCACAAAGAGGATAGGCAATTTGAGGCGGCGTGCTTGGATTGACTCGGGATTCCTTAAAACGGGCCGGTGCGGGTATTTTAGTTTAATTTCGCGTTTTAACCTTCAATTAAGGCACAATAGCACTATCTTATTCCACTTTAAACTAGATTTTACAAAATAATTAAAAGTCAAAATAACAAACGACACTTTTCCCTCCAAAAGGTCCAGAGCGAATCATTCCCGTTCTTTTTCAAAATAGAGTCGAACCTGTCTTGTGATTCACTATAATAATAATGAATTATAATTAGGTAAAACGGCTCATTCACTACCTGCATGGCAGTCCGCCGCGCAGACAGTAGGCTGCTCACACACTATCCTGCTCATTGTGAGTATAGTGTTCTGTGCTATCCTGCGTATGGCAAACGTATGAAGTCTCGCTGGACGCAATGCAGGATTGCAGGATGGCTTGAGATAAAAAAAACGGGTATTTTATCGTATTAAGAAATAAAAGTATATCACAAAAGTGTTTGTTTGCAGAGATGGGAAAAACTGCTTATTTTTATTTTTTTTAAATGTTTACACGTTATGCTTTTTTTAAAAAAAAGCGTGCTTTTTTTAAACGCTTTTGTGTAAAGCTAACAAAATCGTTTAGAAAACGTTTAAGCGCATAGACTTTTATGTTAAAAAAGCTTGCAACGTTGTGTTTATAGCGAAACGCAAGAGCAGAACACTCAGGGTCGTATTCCAGAACTGTACTTAATGCTCAAGTCAGGATTTGAGCAGACTTGAGTATGATTTTTTAATTGTATATATAATTTATTGATTTGATGAGTATGATTGTGGAAATACGACTCTAATGGCAAGGACTTGAGTATGATTTTCAGTGCTCACTGCAATACTCAAGTCCTGACTTGAGTATTGAGTAGAGTTCTAGAATACGACTTTAGGGTCGTCAGTCAGGATTTGAGCAGACTTGAGTATGATTTCAAGCACTGGAAATACGACCCCAATGGCAAGGACTTGAGTATGATTTCTAGTGCTTTGAATCATACTCAAGTCCTGACTTGAGCATTAAGTAGAGTTCTAGAATACGACCCTAAAAGTTTTAAGATAAGTAAGTTTATTGTAAAAAAAAGAGTTATATTTTTATCACTAGTAACAGGTTTCTTACCACGGTATAACTTCTTTTTATTTTCCCGATATTTCACACTTGTCGATCGTATGAAGGAACACATCCGAGCAGTAAAAAACAATGAT